GCTTGGGAATGACTTCGGTGTCTGTGTCGGAATCAAAAGTAAACCCATGCCTGACTAATGTCTCTTTCAGTACCTGAAGCAAGAACAATAAAGAAGTTAAAGAAATGAAAAAAAAAAACAAATGAAAATAAAGTAAAAGAAAAAGAGAGAGACCTCATAGTTAGTGATGACTCCGTTGTGAACAACCAAGAAGTCATCACCAGGACCAGAGGACTGAGGATGACTGTTCCTAGGAGCTGGCTCACCATGAGTAGCCCACCTCGTGTGTGCAATTCCCGCGTGGAAGTAAAAAACCTCGTCCAAGTTCAAATCCGTATTCGTAATCTCTGCAAAATCCAAGGCTCTTAGATACAGATCACATCACAAGAGATGGAGGGAGAAAGCAGGAACCTTGGTTAACGGAATTGACGAGGGATTCGATGTTGCCAGCCTGACGAAAGACAAGAGGAGGAGGAGAAGAGGTAATGCATTTTTGAGAGAGAGGAGAAGAATCGATGGCGATGCCGGCGGAGTCGTAGCCTCTATACTCGAGACGACGGAGGCCATTGAAGAGGATCTCGAGAATGTGTCGTCTCTCCTTGTTCGCGTGGAAATTCAGATACGCGAATATTCCACACATTCTTCTTCGTCTTCGGTGATCTCTCTTCTTTCAAAAAGTTTCGGAGTTTTTTTTTTAATGAGAGGGAAAGAAGACGACGAAAGGGAGGAATTTTCTAAATTTTGACTCAGATGTGGTAGTTAACTTGTAAATCCGGTGCGCAATTGTGGGTATTGATGTCATTTTGACTTCTGTCAGGAACAGTGATGTGGCTTTGATTCATTGGATAGAGAGCGAGTTTGCTTTCTCTGGCAGCGAATACAGCCTAGGCCTTGCACGTGGACGATGGTTGGTGGTCACGTTCGATTTCTACTTGTCCACTATTTTTTTCTTTTTTTAGGAATAAAATTTCATTGAATTATATGAAATTACAAAGTTGAAGTCATTCAAGACTGTAAAAAGTAAATTATTACTCAAGTAGATATGTGAGAAATATGTTGAAAAAAGTATAAAGAAATAACATTGCATTCTGGTCGAGAACGTCTGACGCACTAATGAATAAATATAGGGAAGTTAACTTAAATAGTATAAATTGTATTAATTATTATCACAACCATAGAAATTTTTTTTTTTATTATTACCATTTTTTTAATACCTAAAATGCCATTTTTTTACGTTGTGAGAAAAAACGTATTTACAAAAATGCCATTACTTTTTTGTGCCACATAGGCAAAAAATCGGCTCTACGTAAGAATGCAGCATAAAACTCAGCCGCAATACGATATGAACTTCGTTACGGCCGAGATATAGGTGCATTGCGGCTGACTTAAATAATCTAGCTGACTTATGAGAAATAAGCTGACTTAAATTTTTTCTTTGCTTTGAAAGGCTTAACCAGGATGTTTGCAAGGACTGGACGATGATCCGAGCCCCATAGTCTGAGATACTTGACAGAAAAATGTGAAAATTTTTCATTCCAGTTCTCGTTGCATAAAGCACGAACAAGACGGCACCTAACAGTACTGGTTCCATTCCTAGTCCTTCATTTACCTACCCATGACATTTGGTTGTCAATGCATGGGAATTCCAGCATCCCACAATCACTTATAATTTGCTTGAAAGGCAGAAAAGAACTATCAGCTCTCTCTACTCCTCCTTCTTTCTCTTCATGTTCAGTTATTTCATTAAAATTTCCAATCATGAACCAAAGTCTATCTTTTATTGTTGAGAAACGCGTAAGACATTCCCAGACTAGTTCCCTACGTTTTATAACAAGGTCACCATAAAAAAATGTCATGTAGACTTTTATTCCATCAATGATTGCAGATACATCAATCATCCAATTATTAGAAAATAAAACATCAACTTGCAGATAATCCATAAAAAAATAAAGCTAAACCACCGCTTCGGCCAAGAGGTTCATTCAAGTGCAATTTTGTTGAATGAGCTTATTGTTTACAGTTTACTGATTGTATAATTTTTTGGATATATACGTATATATGGTTATAGCTTTCATATTATATAAATGGTTTCCGTAACAATACTTTTGACTATAGATTTGTTGAACAAATTTCTTATTTAACATAAACTAGATCATGTCCTGCGCAGTCGCGCAGATTTTATATTTTGATGTATTCAATATAATGCAGTTTTATATATTTTGAGTTTGTCCAATTTGATTATATGTTTAACGAAAAAATATCAAAATTATCTTTTATATTAACAAAGTCAAGCAGTGTATTATGTTGATGTAACCGTGCAGGGAAAACACTAATTCTGTATGTTTTTTCAAAGTGCAAAGTTAAATTCAAAGTTAACTGTTTGCGTTAAAAAATAAGTTGAGAGTTTAGTTACTTCTGATATTTATAATTATCCAATGTTCTGAAATAATATTCAAATTTCTAACATTTTCGAACTTAACCTCTATTTTATAGGTTAGGTCCAATTCAAACTTAACTTTGGTATTAACTTTGCAAGCGCATAATATTTTATGATGAACATTTTTAACAAATATTTTGGCAACTTTTAACAAATATTTTGGTAATTTGAAAGACTTTTCGTATTTAAAATATTTTTGCATTTAAATCAGTATTTTTTAAATTCAACCAAAACCACGGTTAAACTGGTTAAATCGGTGATCTGATAATTCAGTTTTGATTTGTAATAATATCCATATTTCAAATATCAGTAAAACCCGAGACTAACCGAATGAACCATGGATAAATGATATGTAATATTTGAACCTGTAAAAATAAGTTTATTTTTGTTGTTTTATATATTATTTGATTTTTTAATTCATCTAAATAATTTGAAAGAAAATTATGAGAAATTATTAAAAAGGGTGAGATCTACTATTTTGTATTGTTTGGACATAAGATTAATTATAGAGTTGTTTAGAAACGTAGTATAAAAAATGAGTATATTGTTTGGAAACATGGATAGTAGTTGTTGGGGTCAAAAATGGTAATCTTGAAATCAATGTCTACGATTACTTCTCCTTATATTCTCCAAAAGGATCTCGGGTCGGAAAGACAAGAAAAGACCAGCTCGTCCTGGCCACCTGAGCGAGCTGAACCGTCCTGGCCAGCTCGCCCAGCCGGCGAGCTGGTCATCCCAAACCAGTTCGGCGTCTTATCGAGCTGAACCAAACCGTCCAGGTCCCTTGACTCGATCGTACTCTGAACCGTGATCGGAACATATTTCGTTTCGTCTCGTCTCGATCTGACTTACCGTTGGAGTTTTACGAAAAAACCGCTAAAGACTTGTTTTCTCGTAAAACCTCGAGTAAATCGTATAAAACGGCAGCGGTTAAACGAAACACCGGACATTACCAAAACTGTACGATTGACTCGAGTTATTTTATAAAAACAGCAGCATATCATGGAACGATCCCGTCTAAAATTGTAAAACGGCTAAGTCACAAAACGGCTCGGAAAGTTCTGAAATGCGATAAAGGTCCACTCACGACTTTAGACGAGATCGAGCCCAAAGATATGATGATGGTTTACTCAGTATTCGCAGGAAAGGATAAATGTCAAGTTTGAAGACAAAATAAAAGTTTTCCAAGGAAAAATGGGAAGATCAAGATAAATGGAAGATTTCTGATAAACGCGAATCGTGGCGGAAAAGAAAAGACCAACCGCCTAGAGGAGTATATAAGCATAAGTTCGAAGTGAAGAGGGGCAGAGCTTTTTTAGAGATAGAAAAACTGCTGTTAGTTTAGACGAATTTAGGACTTAGGTGGCTAGACTAGCAAGTCGGATCCTTAGAACGTTTGGTTGTCTAAGTTCCGCAATCTCTTTGTAACAGCTTTCAATCTCATTATTCATATCAATAATAGCCTTTGCGCAATTTATTTCATCTATATTATGTTCATCTTTTTTTGTTTTAGTGTGTTTCTATAGAGATCTAGGACTTCTGGAGAATTAGGGTTTTTCCTAAGTTTCCATATTTGACGGAAAATCGACAGTGTGAATTTTGGTTTCCACAGTAATATAAAGGAATAAATATATTGTTTGGAAATACATATAGTAGTATAAAGAAATATTAGTGATTTAATGTAGATTTAACTATAAAGTAGAAAAATATATTTAAATTTAAAACTTACAAAATAAATGTTAGATCCAACTTAATGTTTCTAATTTAACTAGATAGATGAATGGTATTTTTTTGTCAACTAATGGATGGTATAATATGTGTATCATGTAGAAGGTTACAATACCAAAATTTTGACTGCAAATTAAATTCTATAAAATTCTTATATACTTTTGTAAAAAGTTTCATTTTGTTTTTGTCACAATATAAAGTTTTATGGAACATAAACATTGGCTATAAATTTACTCAATGAGTTTACTATTATTTCTTTTTGTCAGTCGTCTCTCTAAACTAGATGTGGTCAGACGAGTCGATTCTTCGAGTAACACGTTTGTCTATATAAGAAAAAAATATAACCTTTGATTCTTAGTTCTTTTAATAGCTCATCTGCGATTAAATTATTCTTACTTCTTTTGCTAGCAGAGTAATAGCCCATCTGCGATTAAATTATTCTTACTTCTTTTGCTAGCACATCAGCAATTAGATTTTATTTAGTGTGTCCGATTGTATGGTCGTGTGAGTGCGGTTATCGTTGCTTAGAAATGCTTTCACTTGGTTTTTAATCTCCTTTTAATGTAGCACAAAAAATTCTCTTTTTGATAATTGGGTAATCGGTTCTGGTTTCAATGCCCAACCCTAGTTTCTGCCTTAAACCCTTTCAAATGAATACAAGAAATAACAAGAAATAACAATAAATGCAAGATTAAAGGAAACATTAAAAGCTTCAACATCAAATATATACATGAATAGGCTAAATGAAATTTTGATGACAAGTCAGCACCTAATAATACAATCCTCCCAAAGGAAGTAAAGAAGAGATAAATATTATCTCTATCTTCTCCCAAATTGATTTCTCCGCACCTGAACTTTATCCAATGGTACTACTAGGCATAGTCCAGCTCCCATCATACCCGGCACCCACATTGTCTCCACGGTGCCTCTTCTTCATCGATGCAGCAGAAACAGAGCTCCCATTGGTGTTGGAAGTCAGAGAGCTTTCAACTGAACAGTTTGTTGTGATGTTGCTTTTGTGGTCTATTGCTACTGCAAGCTCGGACAAAGATGGCATCATCATCATCTTTGTTGCATCAAAGTACGGGACTGTTGTTCCGTGAGTGCTATTAGACACTTTGATGGCTAGCTCTGACAGCTCCTCGTTAGCTGCCTCAACCCCAGCAAAAGTAACAGCTTGCTCTTCAAAGACCTTGCAAGCTTTCTCAAGAATAGACTGTAGATACTTCCCTTGTGCCTCTATCCTCAGCTGGAGTCTCCGTTGCACCTGCCCATACTAAAGATACCAATCAAAAGGTTTGCACCTTAACAGCATAGCATGTTGCAGAAACTCCTACCAAAAGTTTCGACCATTGTCTCAAGGGCACATTTGTTAAGTAACTAGGTAGAGAGAAGCATATTGGTTATGAACTTAGGATTTTGAGTCAGATAGTTCAGTAACCATATGGTGATTTATAACTTATCTTCAGAAATAACCGCTAGAGAAATGAAGAGAACTAACCTCCAATTGCTCGTGTAGTCTTCTCTGGACTTCCATCTGAGCGCGTAGAGCTTCAGTAACTTGGAGACCCCTAGTTCGCAAACAAATAAAGAGGTTCATAAAATTGTAGCACGAAACAGTAAGTACGAAAAAACAACTGTAGTCATACTCGTTCTGTTCCTGCGCAGCCAGTCTCAATGATGACGGTGAAGATGAGCCTGTGTCCTGACTCTCCCCAATACAAGAGGCTGCAGCATCAAGTTCACAGAATCAGTAGAACTCACGAGATGTGGACACACAACTAAGATTCATCTATGTTACTCTTTGTTCACTCTCCTCTTAATCAACTTTTTCTTTTCATTTACAATTCAGTTTTAATTAAAAGACCATGAGCAGTTTACTTATATATATTTTCTGAGAACACCAGTGAAAATTTAACAAAGGAGTCCGTTGTGCATCACAGATGATATAGGTTTACAAAATGTGGAACAAAAAGGCGTTAACAAAGAGAGATAGAGAATAAAGTACCATCCTTGGAGATCTCAGTTGATTCTTTACAAGCTTGCCTCCCTTGGCGAAATTTCTGTCAAGCAAAACAAATACAAAGGAGAGAAGCATAAGACTATCAAACACACCCAAATGGAGCATTGCTGTAAATCTCAGCTTAACTCCAGTTTCCAATTCTAGCAAATCTCAGAATCTAAGGTGCTTGTATCAGTACCCAAATAGCTCAGCTTAGGTTTAATTAGAGACCACATAACTCTTGCAAATCTCAGCAAGTAAGAAAGAGAGAAACCTGAAGATGAGATTTGAGGTGGTAGAGGGTGAGACCTTTCACTCCCATCGATCTCATTAGAGTTTTGGGCGTCGCTTCTGCAAAGCATTAACACGTGTCAGTAACAAGACAAAAACCCCATCTCCAATCTTGAAACTAAAAAACCCTAGAATAAAGGAACCGCCTTTCGCTAAAATTCTTAGGTTAATCGGTAGAAAGGAACTTACTTTCGGGACCACCGAGTTCCGTGACGGCCTCGACGAACTTCTCATGGAGCTCCGCCGTCCACCGGAGACGGGGTTTGGGGTCAGTGGTTAAGACCAAGCAGGCGTCTCCGGCGAGATTAGTCCCGTCAAGAGGTCCATGGTACTCACCGCCGTCGAGAGGAAGGGAGCGAATCGCCGAGTACATTTTTGGAGTATATTGCCGGGAAAGTGAAGGGAAAGTGTTTAGGGGAAAGTAAATTGGGTGGTCGATTCGGAATCGGATCCGGGTTAACCTCCGGGTTTTTTTTGTTAGACAGCGACGAGACGGTGGACAGATTTGGACGTACTCTCTCTCTCCATATAATAAGTGAACATCTTATATATTAAAACAGAAGTCATGACTTAATTTCATGTGTGATTTTTTTTAAAAATAGACTATTACTAGAAAGTCATGTTACATTAACTCTCTAATAATCTTATCATTATTATATCTTATGAAAAATCATATCTATAATAACAAAGATACGTTTAACAATTTGGTTTTGGTAAATTACCCCACACCTTCCAATTTAGTCACACAAAATATGTTAATAGATATAAGTTTAGGAATCTATTATT